GATCTGTGCGGGCGTCTTTAGGCGTCTGCTCAGCTAAACCCACCCCTCTGTGTAGTGCGGTCCTAACACTAACCTTACTTGGCATTCTGTGCATTAGGGTAAAAACCACCCAGTACCTGGTTCTCTCCCTCGCCCGCCCCCCACCCCATCCAAACTCTGTGTCACCACTGTGGGTCCAAAGCGATCCGCCATTCCCCCGAGCTTCCTGGCTGCAGGAGGAGGATACTGAAGGCAGAGGAGCCATAGGCCAAAATGTCATTTTTAAATGCAAGCAGTTTAAGCACCTAAAGATTCCCTGGTATCGGCCTCTTAAACTCGCTGTACAGCAGGGCTCAGACTGCGAGAGGTAGAAACAGCACAAGGAACTAGTCAATTGTTCTACAGAATCAGGTGCTAAAAAGGAACCTCCTGATAGGAGGGAAGAGAAGAGTGACAGAGAGATGAGCTCATCAGTCTGCTGCTTCTCATTTCACTGGCAATCACAGATTGGGGGGAGACAAAACCTATAAAGAAAAAAAATAAAAAAAAAATCAGGTCTCCTGTCCTGCCAGACAGGGCTGCACAATGTGGCAGGGCTCTGTAAATCTCAGGACTGGATGGACAGAAATACAAATCCTTTGGCATGTAAATTAGTTCCCTTACATGTATTTCATCTGTGTTTATGGCTATTTGACTGGAATACAACTGGAGCCAAAATGTTTAGTTTAGTTTGAGTGAAGATGGTTTAAGACGCCTAGTCTTTATTGCTCTTTGTGTCCCCGTCAGGCAGATTCCCCCTCTCTATTTGTCCTGGGGACCGTTATCACTGACAGTGAAAGAAAATCCCACATTTTGGGTTCTCACCAGGACAGGAATAAATGGGGAATCCATTCCTGGTGACCCTGCTGACCACCAGGAATTTCCTTCAATTTGGAGGGATTTCCTCTCGCTTCCCATTGTGGCTATCAAACAGGAAGTAAAGGCAAAACTCCCTAATGGGACACAGATAGAAAATAAAAGCCGACAAAAAAAAACTGACTTCAGTTCTACTTTAAAGATCAGAACTGAAGCAATGCAAATCTTACTTGGCAAGAAAGTTTCCTGGCAGAGAATTGTCCACATTGTGACCTTTGTGACAGAAGAAGTACTTGGAAGTTCTTGGAGCTTTTGTGAAATTGATGAGAAGTCACATTTAGTTACCTGAAGAGCTTCCTACTGAACATCCTGCTTATAAAAGTAATTATAAAGAATTCATTCCTCTCGCAGCATAAGATGATGACATGCGACTATATTATCTGACCTGTACTGCCACCTCCTGGGAAGAACAAGAACAGGCAATGTGGGGAAAATAAAACTAACTTTATTACCGTCCTTGTGTGTCACTAATCTCCTAACTGACATATCCGTCTGGATGTCACAACACTTCCTAAAACTCAACCTTTCAAAAACTGAGCTTGTGTACCTGCTCCAAACTATGCCATTGAGATTGACAGCACAACTATCCCTCCCCCCATGCCAAGGTGCTAGGTGTCATCCTGGACTCGGACCTCACCTTTCTTCCCCACGTCCAATCCAAATCCTGCCGCCTTCACCTTCGTAACTTCTCCAAAATACGCCCCTTCTTCACCAATGAAATCACAAAGCTGCTCATCCACTCCCTTGTTATCTCTCGTCTTGACTATTGTAACTCTCTTGTCAGTGGCCTTCCACTACACAGGATATCCCCCCTTCAGTCTATCATGAATGCAGCTGCTAAACTCATTCATCTACCGCTCAGTGTCTGCAACCCCCCTCTGCCGATCCCGGCACTGGCTTCCACCCCCCTCTGCCAATCCCGGCACTGGCTTCCACCCCCCTCTGCCAATCCCGGCACTGGCTTCCATTCCCCCCACAGTACAACATTTTACATATTAACAATGACTTACAAAGCCACCCACAACTCTGCTCCTGGCTATATCTCCAACCTTGTCTCAAAGTATCACCCTAACAGTCCCCTCTGCTCTTCCAGAGACCTCCTGCTTCCCAGCTTCGTCATCAACTCCTCCCATGCTTTTCTTAAGGACTTCTCTAGAGTCTCTCCTATCCTCTGGAACTCCTTACCCCAACCTGCTCAGGACGACCATATTCCTTGAGCCAAAAACAGGACATAGGGATGGCAAAAACAGGACAGTTTTAATATTCCGTATTCATGAAAAAGTATGAAAACTAGGGATGCACCAATACCGGTTTTATGGTATCGAGTACCGATATTTTTTTTTATCGATACTCGTCGATACTGAATACCGATACCAGAAGTCACCTGGCTTCCTGATTAGCCGTGAATCTGGGCAGCGTGTAAAGACCATTAGCACGGAAGCCGTCTCCCCGCTCCCTCATCACCAGGTGACGAGGGAGCGGGGAGGCCCAGGACTACAGCGGGAGGCCCAATCTACCTGTCCCTCAAAACAATCTACGTGTTGTGATACAAAAAAAATAATATTAACCAAAACCATATTCAACCGTGCCAAGAAGTTCTTCTCATTGCCAGTCACCTGACCACACTGACCAACGAGTGCTCGCAATTTGTGACCGAAATTCCAAAACCATAGCGCATGTTCTGCACTGGATGGCAGTATGAGGTAAGGATAGTATCCCCCGTACCGGCAGAGGGGAAGGACCGATTGCTAAAAGGTAAGTATAGCGGGGGGAGGGGCCAGATTTGAGCGGGTAATTCCATTTTCCAAAATTATTTGGGAGAGTGAACTTGCCCTTTAATGCACATTGTGCGTGTTAGAGAGCGCGGCTACCACAATATGGCACACAGCGGAATGGGGGCAGCACTCAGCGCACACACACAATGTCCTATGCGTGCATTTATTCGCATGCAGATGGCGGGGGCAGTTTTCATTTTTTTTTTTATTTATGTCTTTTATTACTTTTTTATTTTCATTCATTTTTTTCCTTAAATCACTTTTTTTTATTCTAAATTTTCCTTCAACATTTCCACATTCTTTGGACAGGCAGGCTGATCTAGATGGCTTGTACAAAATGACCGGCGACTTCCCCGCTCTACATGCAGTCCTGCTTGCCCGCATGACAATTAATCTCGACTACATAGCCCATTATGCATTGCTTTCAGCAAACAATGATGATGATGATGTTACATTGTTCAGATGCCGAGTTGGAGTTCAGAAGGCAGGCTCTGTGATAGTGATGACACGGGGAAGTGAATATTCACAGGGCTGAGTGGAATGGTGTCAGTACATTGAGGAAGTACATCCTATGGGCATCTTCAATAGGTACGTTTACAAACATCTAGATGGATATGGGAAGTCAATATAGAAATACAGATTTATATTTAGTGTTTGACCACAGATACTCTTTAAACACAGCAGGATGTGATCTGAGGAGCATACAACTTGTTTATACTTCTTAGGTCATTTAGATCAGCCAAACGCAGGAGGCCCATGGTATTATAACTAGAGGTGCACCGAAATGAAAATGTCAAAAACGAAACCAAAACTAAAAAAAAAAAAAAAAAAATATGTCAGGCCGAAACTAAAACCAAAAATGTTTTTTATTTTAACATTTTCAAAAAAAATTATATTTAAATTTTTTTATAAACTTTTTAATTTTTGTATATTTATTTTTACTTTACTTTTAGGGGCTTCGGGGAAATATTGGGGGTCTAAACAGACCTCTGATATTTCCCTTTTAAAATAGAAAAAGAGATTGAGAACACAGAGTCCTCAATCTCTTTTTCTGCAGCCCCTGTTATCAATGAACAGGAATACTCTATACTGATTGTCCTCATGTTATGAATGAACAGGAACAGAGTATGTTTACTATAACCACAATCATGAATGACCAGGAGGTGATGTAGATCACTTCTCATTCATTCATAATTGAGGAAATGGTAACCATACTCTGTCCTCAATTATGTACAAACACTCAGCGATCACTGATCCCTGACTGCTTATACTCGCTCTCAATCCTGACACGCTGTCACAGGAGGCTGAGCGAGTGGAGAGGAGAGCTCATCCTCCTGTGACAGCGCTGGCTGTCTCCGTCCACACTGCCATCTCTCCCGATCTGTGACAGGAGGCTGAGTGGTGTGGGAGGAGAAACGCCGGCCGCTCACATTGCTCTCCTCCCGCAGCGCTCTGCCGCCTGTGACAGTTTCTCTCCTCCCCGCTGGGACACAGAGCAGTGCCCGGTGGGGAGGTATGAAAGAAATGGTGCTCCGCTATATCGGCCAGAAAATGGCACTTTCGGCATTATGCCAAGTGTCATTTTGGCCGATATGTTTCAGCGGCCGATATATGGGTGCATCCCTAAATCTAGCATTATAGTCAAGTGTTCCTAAAGTCATAAACACAAAAAATTGAATATTTGCTTCTGCATGCTACCTTACCATCTCTCACCTGAATCTTTACACTTCTATGTCCATTTATACCCTATAAATACCTCTGACCAGATGTTCCGAATTGCATTCACATACATTTCCTGTATGCCGATGTCCACATTTCATTCTGCCTTTCTAATATCCCCCATTGTGGTCACACATGCAGAAGCACTCTGCTCAGTATCTAGTTTTTTCTCACTACTCCCTCACACCTCCGCCCCCTTCTCTCTAATGCCCCACCCACCTCTCTACTGCACCTGCCCCTACTACAGCCAGGAACCCAGCTGCATGTGACATATGGTGCAAGGTATTGTGGGAGATAACCCAGAAAACAGCTGTTTATTATTAGTCGGCTCTGCCTAAAACATCCGCCTCCTGCCTTCCACAGAGACCACATGACCTATGCCTCGGCACCACATAGGAGATGATTAATAGAATTCAGAACGTTAAGTTTTGCACTTGTCTTTTGCGTTTATTTACTATCGCTACAAATAATGATTAAAAAAAGGAAACATTTTGCAAGTGTGTCTGATTTTACATTTCTTGCCTGCACACCCTACCTGGAATGTCATGTTTCCCCCCCATTAATAAAGCAGGAGCTGTATACACATGTGATGACACCATGTGTCAGACTTACCAGCATCCAAGTCCACCCCATAACAGGGCAGGGGGTCCAGAGACAACTTGTAGCTCTCAAACTTGGGGTCCAGCAGCAGCCTGTTCACCCTCAGGGAGCAGTTAGCCGCTTCCATGTTCCAGCACTTCGATCCTGTCACTTCCACTCACTTCTCAGTACAAGCAGGGAAAGCGGAACCTTTCAGACGGTCACCACGCACCCACCCGGAGCGGAGCCATTTACACACGGACCCATGAGAAATGCATGCCGGGAAATGTAGTCTATTTTTACCAACCGTGACTGACATTTTCTGAAAATTCAAAAAGACTAAAACTCATAACTAGATGTAATGTTTTATACCAATAAAGGGTTTCTTAACATGCAGCATTCAAAAAAAAATCCTAAACAGTTCAAAGTAATTATTCATATAGATTGTTACGTCGTGTGACGTAAACAATGGCCGCAATGTGATGACGTCTATGGGAACACCCATTTGGGAACTATTCCGCCTTACAGGCGGTTGCTAGGCAGCTAGGAGGAGGTTCCGGTGTGGTGTGTGCGTGCTGCGAGTAAGGACCAGGTAAGAGAAATCTTCATATAATGTCTGATGATACAGACTGTGTGCAGCATAACCTGCCTCTATGTGTGCACCTCATAACTCTGTGCCCCTAATAACTCTGCCCCTGTGTGTACTGTGTGCGCCTCAGAACTCTGTCCCTGTGTGTGCATCTCAGAACTCTGTCCCTGTGTGTGCATCTCAGAACTCTGTCCCTGTGTGTGCATCTCAGAACTCTGTCCCTGTGTGTGCATCTCAGAACTCTGTCCCCGTGTGTACTTTGTGTGCGCCTGAGAACTCTGCCCCTGTGTGTACTGTGTGCGCCCCAGAACTCTGCCCCTGTGTGTACTGAGTGCGCCTCAGAACTCTGTACATGTATCCTTTATAACGTTGCCACTGTGTGCCGCCTAATTCTGTTCTCATATGTACTGTGTATGCCTCCTAAGGTCTCGTTCACACCTAGGCGTATTGCATATGTGCGACCGTCGCGCGTTTTTTTACCACGATTTGCGGTTAAAAAGTTGCGCGTTTCCGAAGGCTACTTGGCTGTATCCCAATGGAAACGCGCAACAAAACGGCCCAAAGTTGTACCTGTACCTTTCCAGGCGTGGGCCGTTTTGTAGCGCGTTATGGACGGGCGGAAATACGCCAAGGTGGGAACGAGACCATTGAATACAATGGGATTTATATTTTTGAGCGTTCGTCGAGCGTAGAGCGCGCTACAAAACGTTCAGGTGTGAACGAGGGCTAAGTGTGTGTGTGTGTGTGTGTGTGTGTGCGCGCGCGCCACATAATTCTGTCACTGTGTGTGCCTCCTAATCCAATTTTCAGTATGGCAATCACTAACGAGATTTTTTTTTTTCCATACAAGCCTGCACCATGAACAAAGATGCTCAGATAAGAGCGGCTATTAACCAGAAGCTGATTGAAACAGGAGAGAGGGAACGGTAAGTAATGAGAAACCATGGTCAGCGGACGCATTAATAGCTTTTCCTGTGCTGTGTTATATAACATTATATTAAAAAAAAGCGCATTTGTTACACTTGGAGTCTGCAGAGCATTGCATAGTGGATGCAGTGCACAGGCTCCTGCAGGCCCCTCCCACCGCATCCCAGATCTGTATGGAGGTATTGACCTTCAGTTGTAGAGCTGGAGGAAGTAAACAATGGACTACAAGTGCGATGACATCACAGCGCTTCTGCTCTATTGAGATCTCGGAACTCACTGCTGATGTCGGTCTAGTACAGGAATGCGCAGTTTGCTCTCACTCCACGGACTGTTTTAAAATAAGTATTCAGGTGTCTGTTTTACACATACATTTTAACACCTTTTTAAAGGTGTAGTGGTTTTCCCCATAGTTCTCCTAAGGGTCATGGGAGTACAGAAACTAGCATCCTTCCGTCACCCAAAGCTCAGTATACCGCGAGCTACAGCTCGCGGTATACTGAGACAGCCGCAGCCGGGACGGATCCCAACATTACTGTTGAGATCCACCCTGCTGTGTGATTGACAGCTTGCTCTGCAGGGAGATGATCGAGAAGTGAGTGAGCAACGGTATGTGTTCGCTCACTTCCCGATCTATAGAGCCGACCTGTGACAGCTTCATTGTCACACGTCGGCTCGAACTATGAGGTTCAGTGATTTTAACTCCCCTCGTAGTTCTCGTTTAATATGTTTCAGCTGCTGTAAAAACTATGGATGCACCGATATATCAGCTGCCGAAACATATCGGCCGAAAATCGCACTTTTGGCAAAATGCAGAAAGTGCCATTTTCTGGCCGATCTAGCGGTGCATCCGTTCTTTCTCTCCTCCCCTCTTGGCGCTGCTCTGTGTCTCAGCGGGGAGGACAGAAACTGTCGCAGGCGGCCGTGCGCTGTGAGCGCTGTCACAGGAGACTGAGCTCTCCTCCCCGCACCGCTCGCTCAGCCTCCTATGACAGCGTGTCAGGATGGAGAGCGGGTACAAGCAGTCGGTGATCAGTGATCGCTGAGTGTTTGTAGATAATTGAGGACATGGCATGTTAACTATATCCTCAATTATGAATGAATGAGAAGTGATCTACATCCCCTCCTAGTCATTCATAGTTGTAGTTATAGTAAACATACTCTGTCCTCATGTTATGAATGAACAGGAACACTCAGTATAGAAACTTCCTGTTCATTGATAACAGGGGCTGCAGAAAAAGAGATTGAGGACTCTGTGTTCTCAATCCCTATTTTAAAAATGAAATATCAGGGGTCTGTTTAGACCCCCAATATTACCCAGAAGCCCCTAAAAGTAAAAAAATATTTAATAAAAATAAATTAAAAATTTAAGTTTGTTGATAATTGAGGACATGGTATGTGTACTACATCCCAAATTATGAATGAATGGGCAGCGATCTACATCACATCTACATCACTTCCTGTTCATTCATGATTGTGGTTATAGTAAACACACTTCCTGTTCATTGATAACAGGGGCTGCAGAAAAAGAGATTGAGGACTCTGTGTTCTCAATCCCTATTTTAAAAATGAAATATCAGGGGTCTGTTTAGACCCCCAATATTACCCAGAAGCCCCTAAAAGTAAAAAAATATTTAATAAAAATAAATTAAAAATTTAAAACGATTTTATAAATAAAAATAGAATATTAAAGAAACATTTTCAGTTTTGGCCTGACATTTTTTTTTTCATTTCGGTGTCGTTTCGGTTTTGAAATTTTTATTTCAGTGCACCTCTAGTAAAAACCATAGATCAGGGGTGCCCACAAGGTCGATCCCGATCTACCAGTCGATCGCCGCTTCTCTGGATCCAGGGAGAGCAGGGGGATCCAGAGGAGAAGCTAGGCCCCCTTGTGCGTGGCCGAGCGGCAGAGGATCGGTACATGTCACTAGTATGTACCAATCCTCTGTGCAGGACAAACACTGGAGCGATCGTCTGATCACTCCAGTGTTTGTAAATAACTGGGGACACATAGTACTATGTGTCCCCAGTTATAAATGAATGAACAGGATGTGATTTACATCACGTCCCGTTCATTCATGAGTTTCTCAATGGGGAGAAGCACTCTGTACAGAGGCTCCTCCCCATTCAGAAACTGCTTGATAATAAATATTTTCTGAATGAATGGTGAGGAGCCTCTTTGCTTTCCATTCATTTAGAATAGAGGCTGCAGAAAAAAAGATTGAGGACTATGTGTCCTCAATTTCTTTTTCTATTTTAAAAGGGAAATATATGGGGGCTTTTTAGACCCCTAATATTTCCCCAGCCTGGCTGCGGTGCCATTGACTTCAATGCACCGCCCCTGAATGCAGGTGTTTTTTCGTTGGTAGATCTCAATGAGCTCGTCATTTGAAAAGTAGATCTCCAGACGAAAAAAAATGGGCGCCCCTGCCATAGATAATACGAAATCACCTGCACTCCATACAGCGTACAGACCTTGCATGAGAGGTTTGTGTTTGAGGTGACAACACGGATGGGGCCGTGTCAGATACAGTCCATAATAGAAGTCACCAGCACTCGAAGATATGTGGAAGAAGTAAAGCACTTTTTATTAGATTATTATCAGGACTAGATCTATAGAAACACAAATCCTTTGATATGGAATACATACCAGGAAGTTGTTTTACCTATGTGTATTTAGTGGTTTGCCTGCAGCTTAGCTTTAAGACAATACATACCACATAATCATTGGAATATAAAATAATTTCTTCAGTTGTGTACTGTGTGCATAGCAATAAAATGGCAGCTGCTTACTTTTTAACTGCAGAGGAAGGTGCACCCGGTTATGTTGTTAAATACAAACATTTGCCAGCAATTTAATCCTTGCCAGCAAGAGAATCTAACTTAACCACTTGAAGGCCATAGTGTTTCACCCCCTTCCTGGCCAGGCCATTTTTCAGTATTCAGCGCTGCGGTACTTTGACTGATGTTTATTCCGTCATGCAACGCTTTACTGAAACGATTTTCATACCATTTTTTGGGGACAGATAGAGCTTTCTTTTGGTGGCTTTTATTCACCAATGGGGTTTTTATTTTTTACTATATAACAAAAAAAGTACCCTAAATTTTGAAAAAAAACATGTTTCCCTATAAAATGTTATGAAACATTTTTTTTCACCCCAATTTTTTGGTAAAATATAAAAGTCGGGGTCACGTCGGGTAAATAGACACTAAACATGTCAACCTTTAATATTGCGCGTGCCCGCAAAATCGCAGAAAACGACCGCAGCCAAAATTGGTCATAGGCGACGCTTTAAACGTTTTTACCGCTCATCAGTTTAGTGTCATCAGTGATTGATGGCCCTAGAATTATTGTTCTCACTGCGACGTTCGCGGCGATATGTAACATGTGCTGCATAATGGGCGCAATCGTCGGTTTCGTACATAGGCGCACCCGACGCATGTTTGTGCGTGCATCTGGGGGGCGGGGGACTTTAAAAAAATGTTTGTGTTATTTTTTTTTATTTTTTTTAGCTTCTTTATTTTTTTTAGCTTCTTTATTTTTTTTAATGCTGTAATTTTTTTTTTTTGACTTAACTTTATTGCTATAACATAGGGGACTAAGGAATCCCCTATGTAATAGCCAGTTCACCAAACAGGTCCTCTTTATGGAGACATCAGGGGTCTCAAGACCTCTGATGTCACCTAGGGACCCCCACAGAAGCTGATGAAGCACAGATCTGCTCCATCAGCTTCTCTCCGGTGTTCTGCACCGGAGAGTGACACTGAATGCAGGAAGTGATGTAATATACATCACTTCCTGCATTCGGGGACAAGAAGAGAGATCAAAGGGATGATCAAGTAATGATCATCCCTTTGATCTCCTGTTAGAGCGTCGCCGTGCCGGTCCCAGCCGCACCGGCCACATCGGAACACGGGACCGGCAGCGGCGGCGAAGAGACGAGCAGGAGGAGGTTGGGGGGGGGGGCGGCGCACACCCGCAGATCCTGCAAGCGATCGGGCGTCTCTAGAGACGCCTGACCGCTTGTATGTAAACAGCCATCGCTGGCTGTTTACATGCTGACGGTTTTCCCTCTCGTGTGCGGCGCTCAGCGCGGACACGAGAGGGGGGAGGGGCAGGACGTCTTAAGACGCCCTCCCGCTCTGAGCAGACGTCCATCTGGCCGTTCACAAACGGCCATGGACGTAAGGTAGTTAAAGGAGAACTATGAGGTGAGTCAAAAATCACTCAGCCTCATAGTTCTAGCCGACCTGTGACAATTAAACTGTCACACGTCGGCTCAATAGATCGGGAAGTGAGCGAACACATACCGTCGCTCGCTACCTTCTCGAGCATCTCTCTGCAGAGAGCCGTGACTGTCACTCATGCAGCTGGGTGGATCTCGCCAGTAATGTCTGGATCTGTCCCGGCTGCGGCGCTCTCAGTATACCGTGAGCTGTAGCTTGCAATATACTGAGCTTTGGGTCACGGGAGGAGGTTAGTATATGTTCTTCCGTGACCCTAAAGAAAACTGTGTGGAAAAACACTTACCCCATAGTTCTCTTTAAATCTGTTTTAAAGCATTAAAAACAGGGGACTCCATTACATACATAGGAGACGTATGTGAAGCCAGCTTCTGTAAAGTTTGCTTTTCCTCTAATCTGTTAGAGCAGGGCTTGACATATCCCAGGCGTCAGGTCGCCACAGCAACTAGAAATTGTGTCCTGGGCTTTTGTCAGCTCCTTTCCTGTCTCCACGCCACCACCTCCGCATGAGCTCTGCTCTAAGCATGCAACTAACAATTATTTTCATCATCGATTAGTTGGCTGATAATTTTTTGATTTATTGGATAAAATAAAAAAAAAAATAATACCATCTTTTACTTAAAATCACATAGGTGCACCGACTTGTGTTTCTGCTAGTTTGCGCGTGGTTGGGGGACTTCAACATTTTTTTGGTATTTTTAATTATTTAACTTTTATTTTTTCATTGCTGTCAAATAGGGGGGCTCACAAGCCCCTTATGTGATAGCACATTGGAGAGGACAGGTTCTCTTTAAGGTTCCAATAGGGGTCTATTTATTCTCTAAACGTGAAGCACGGTGACGCCATAAATATGATATACAATTTTGTGTACGTTATTTACTATTATGTCTTTTATAAATATAAATTGATGTTTGAATAAAAGCGGAGGTCAGTCAGTCAGTCATGGGGAGGAGCTCGGTGCTTTTTATTGCTGCACATATTTAACATTCCTTCCTATAGATTTCTGGAAAACTTCATGCTAAATGAAAAGATGTCACAGTGACACAGCTTATGTTTTACGTGACCTGTTGTTTGTACAATGAGACGATGTTTGTACAATGAGAAGGTAATGCAGGTTCACAAATATCTGTGTGTGAGACCGAGGTGAAAGTGCTGAGCTGTGACATTGTTTTACCTCTTAGGGGCATGGTTCAGGTTTGTGGTTGGTTATTCTTTGCAGGTATAAACGTTTGTCTTGAATTACTATTCGCAGCGTGTCTTACCAGCTACATTATTTATTAAAAGAAAACTATAACTAAACCTTTTTTTGGCTATAGTTATCTTTTGGGTCACAGATGACCGTCTACACTGCAGGGAGAAGATCGTGAACTGACCGATCAGCAGTTTGTGAACGCTCAGCTCTCGATCTGTAGAGCTGGAGGGGGGATCTGCACTGTCACATGCCGGCTCTAACTATTGGGAAGAGTACATTTTACTCTCCCAATACTTCTCCTTTAATAAAGTGTATGTCTGGACAGAATTAAATAAAATATGCAATACATGCACATATTCCCTCCTTTTATAAATGTTCTAAGTGCAGAAAAATATCAATGAATCCTCCCAGATATCCAGCGAGCTTCTGACTTCCGATTTACTATCAACGTGGCCTCTACTGCACAGATATCCCGAGCAGTTTTGTGAACCTTGCCTGGGTTCTCTTCTGCTGGACAGCAGAAATCCGCCTGTCCCTGCGCCTCTTTGTCCCTAGCCACATACATACAATAACCCCAGCAAATAATGCTGCTGCCTTGACTCCGAAGAGCTGCTGGGGATCTTTTTGTGTTTTGCCTTGACTCAGAAAAGCCTGCCCACACACCGTGTGTAGGAAAAGGGCTCTCGGAGATGTAGTACATACAGTGTGAATGAGTCCTTACGCTCAGGGTGTCCCGAGGCCGGGTGTCACCAGGAGCAGAGACCGGTTAACACCCCGTAGTGATGTCATCGCGCACGCGCGGTCCTCTAATTGGCGGCTGCCGGCGGCAATCTTGGTGATGGACGTCCGCAGCGAGAGGAAGGGACGTTCACCCGGCGGGATGAGGTATCCCGCTGGGTCCCCTCCTCTCTCCTAACACTGTCGGGCTCTCAGTCCATGACCGAGTGCCCGACTTTTTGGAGGGGTGACACCAAAATGACTGTCATTATGGTGTCACCCGAGTGTGGGCCGCACCCCCCTTGTGACGCCACTGCTTACGCTTGTACACGTTGCAAAGATTTATAGAGCCGGTGCTTATCTTAAAACACTTCTGTCTTAAACGTATGATGTCAAATCGTTATTTTGACAAAATCTGTTGTGATGTCTGTATACTTGGACTACATTTTTTATAGGACATTGAAGATTTTCTCTGGCTTTCTTTCAGCCTTAAGGATCTGTTGAGAGCCAAACTAATCGAATGTGGATGGAGAGACCAACTGAAGGCGCACTGCAAAGGTATGGAGTGTTTTTTCAACACCTAAATTCACTGAACCCCCCCATATGTTTGTTGTATATTGTCCTGTATGGAAGGCACATTCGCAGTAAGTTTAGCTGCCTGGATATACTGTAACCTGCTGATGCTCGGTGTAGATGAGGAAACAGGTAAGCCAGGGGCTGAACAGAACAGACTATTTATGGTAGCAGTCAAATGGCAAATATGTTTCCTTTATGTTTAAAGACTGGAGATATCTGGATTAGGACTGAGATCTGTCTGTTGATCTGATTGCTTGTGTCTTCTGTCACCTTCCGTTTTACTTTTGCTGTATGATTCTGAAAAACTGTAATCAGCCAAGAACAATGATTCTTTGTTGTCATTCATATTTTAAAGTAATCCGGGGACATTCCGCTATAAAAATCACTGCATAATAATAGTTGAAAAATTTACCTGTAGGGGAAAAAAGATTATATTCTTCCCTATCCCCGTCTTCTGTCCATGGTGCAAGGGTGATATCGCACTAATTCCCTTGAGATCCGAGTAGTGATGAGGATCTTAAATTCTGCAAAAATGAACTCTTACACTGAACTGCAGTGCCACGTTGCAATATTTGGGGGTTCTCATCGTTCCTCAGAAATCTTGCTGAAAGGATAGTGACTTCATGCCCTGTAGTGTAGAAGACACAGTAAGGCAGAGGTGGATTCATTTGTGATTTAGAAGCCTGTCTGTCCAATCCAGGAGGCAACAGGAGATTTTTAGGGGAACCATTGACAACTAAAGAAAACCTCAAAAGTTGGGCACCAGCTGTAATTTCTGAGAAGCTATGGCTACCTGTCTACTGAGGTTTTTCCAGCCCTGTGGTAAGGAACGTATATAAACTGCAGTAGGAAAGAGCCCCCGCATCTAATACGTGGACCTTGGGTTAGGGCTGCATTCAGTGTAGGAGTTAAACTGAACTCCAGACAAACAGCTTAATACACAGATAAAATGAGAGCTGGTTTACATGCCAAAGGATTTCTATTTCTGTCCTAACTTTCACATTTGTCAGTCAGGGTAGGAACCCATCTTTCTTTGTTGAAGTTGATGGCTTTTGCAATAGCAGGCTGGCTTTTGCACCCACCCACTGAGCAGAGGAGCGGGCCTGAGAGAGAACTTTCCTTTCAGGTACTCTCCTCTGCTTAGTGGGCGGGTGCAATAGCCAGCCTGCTATTGGCTAATGCTATTTGAAATAGCCAATAGCGGCCTTACTATTGTTCCCGCCCACTGCCTGCTGTTTGCATTCACCTGCCGGCTGCAGAATCTAGCCAGCAGATGAATGCGCCGCATGGGGGTTGCTTGAAAGTTAATATCATCAACTCTCAAGCAACCAGAAATTACCGACCACTACCGATCTCCCCATGGGTGCCGGATAACTGGGAATTTACTGTATAACAAAAAACTTTCAATGGTTTTATTGACCAAACCAAAAGGGAATAAATCAGAGAAGTTCATTGTTGGGGTTTAGACATACTTTAAGGCAGGGGTAGCCAAACTGCGGCCCTCCCGCTGTGGTGGAGCTACAAATGAGGCATTGCAAGATTTTCACAGCCACAGACATGACTCCCGGAGAGAGATGCATAATGGGATTTGTAGTTTCACCATAGCTGGAGGGCCGCAGTTTGGCTACCCCTGCTTTAAGGGCTGTGTCCAAGATAGAGTAATGGTTAGCAATATTTATCAAGTGTGACAAATTTTGTTTTTGGTCTGAAATTTATTTTTTATGGGTCTATGGCCTTCTTTTTTTTTTTTTTTTCCTTCGTTTAAACTACTTTGAGTCCAGGGACCTACACCCAAGACTAGTGCACAAAGGTCAACACAGTGGGAAAAAAACATATAGTTACATAGTATTTGAGGTTGAATAAAGACATTAGTCCATCAAGTCCAAATAGATTTTTGTTGGCCAATTCCAGCAGCGGATAATAGGCAGTTAGTGTTTTACCTGCTTGGTTGGTAATCTTGCAATGGCACAATGTTGCAAACAACGCAGCAGGATGATGGCCTTCAAATTTTTAGGTTCCAAATTTCCGCATTTACCAGAAGGTATGCTAGGTGGATATTTTGTACATTATACATTATTTTTTTCTGGTAGCACTGGCAAGAGGTGTATAGACATCCAATCTACTGTTTTTTTGCGAGTTAAAAGTCCTAGCGTGCGCTGTGTTTTTTCCCTCCTGTGGTTTTCCCTCCTGTGTTTTTCCCTCCTGTGTTTGAAATGATAACTCATTTAATTTTTTTTTTACGTCTTTTAGATGTAATTAATGACAAAGGCCTAGAACATGTCACAGTTGATGATCTGGTTGCAGAGATTACTCCCAAAGGCAGAGGTGAGTCATATCATTAATCTGTACAGCCTGGTACAGTTTGTATATACACTGAGTGGCCAGATTATTATGACCACCTGACGTTTGTAGGCAAATTAGCTATAATTAGCTATAATTTCGCGCTGACGTTGCTAGAGGGCCAGACCATTATAAATAGGGAAGCAGGTTGTTAACCACGACAGTAGAAGTGATTGTTTTCTGAAGATACGGGGAAACAACGCGATTTAACAGCCTTTGAACGTGAGATAATTGTTGGCGCTCGGTGCCATGGAGCGAGTATCAGCAAAACAGCAGAATTCGTTAAATGTTCAAGAGCAGCTGTTGTTAAAGTGTTTAAAGACTGGACTGTCAGCCGAAAAACTGGGTCTGAACGTGCGAATTGTAGCCATCAGCGACTAGTCAATGTTAGGGCAGAACGGAGAGTGGCAAGACTGGTACAAGACAACAGAAGGGCAACAGTGCAGTGTCAGATTCCTCGCATCACCTTTCAACATCTCGTGGAGTCA